AGGGAACACAATAGAAGAGATTGTCCCAAAATTTCAAAGGAAAGACATAGGTCAGAATATAGGAATAAATATAATTATAGACAGTCTTCCACAGATAGACATAAATATAGAAGCCCACCAAATTACAGAGAAAGTAGAGGGGGCAGAGAAAATTCAAAAGAGAGAAAATCTGGTTCACTGAATGGACTAAATAAACAAGACAGCACTAAAACGCAACAAAATGAGAACAATAATTGGCTTATTGATTCTGGGGCAACTAATCACACCACTAATAACAAAAATATATTGTCTTCATTTACAGAAGATAAGTTTGTAATAAAGGTAGCTAATCAAGAAAAAGTTCGAGTATTAGGCAGAGGGAATGTGACCTTGCCTGGTCTAGGAAAAATAGAGGGGGTATTGTTAATACCAGAAATACCTCATAACATACTAAGTGCCATAAAACTAAGCAGAGATTCTGACATCAATATAGTTTTCTCAAAGGGAAAAGCAACTTTAGAGAAGAATAAAACAAATGTAGGCACTGTGATGATTAAAGGAGGCCTACCCTATCTGATAACAAAAGAAAGATGGTTACATAACATTGATTCAAATATGGAAGATTGTATTGAGGCAGATGATGAAAATATTAGTAACAGTGACAATGATGAATGTAAAATATCTCATGATCACACAGATACACACAATGAGAAGAAACCAAAAATAGGTAAACCAATTCATGACGAGTGTGCTCATATCTTACATAGGAAGTTAGGACATGCAAGTTTTCCTGTAGTACAAAAAATGACTGAACACGCAGAAGGTGTCAAAATAAAAAATTGTGAAAATTATTTGGAATGCTCAGTATGTAAATCTACTAAATTAAAAACTAGTCCCAGGCCAAAAAAATCCACCAGATCAACTAACAAAATTTTTGACTTAGTACACATGGACTTAGTTGGCCCATTAACTCCATCAATCACTTATAGAAAACGTTACTTCCTAACAATAGTAGACGATTACAGTCGCTATGGTTTTGTTTACACATTGAAACACAAGGATGAAACCTTTCAAAAATTTAAGGAATTTTACAAACGCATAGAAACACAACATAATATCAGAATAAAACAAATTATGACAGATAGGGGATGTGAATTCATGTCTAAAGAATTCTCCCATGGTTAAAGGATAGAGGAATGCTACATTACACGTCTAGTCCATTTTCTGCGTTCCAGAACGGGATTGCAGAGAGAAAGAATTCCACATTACAAACCATGATTAGGTGCACATTAGAGGATGCTGGTTTAGGCAAACAATTTTGGTCAGAAGCCCTACATTATTCAAATTACACTCAAAATAGAACCTGGTCCAGTATTGTGAATAAGACACCATATGAGGTGATGTATAATAGGAAACCAAAATTAGCACACATGCACATATTTGGGGTCACTGCAGACGTACACATACCCAAACAGTTGAGAAGAAAGGGAGAAAATGTATCCAGAAGACTAAGATTTATGGGATATGAAACTGGCACCAAAGGTACAGATTCATTGATAATAATAATAAATTTATAGTTTCCAGAACAGCTGTGTTCCATGAACAGGCCAACTGGTCTAAATTACATCTTAATGAAATATTTCCAAATAAATGCAAAGATACCAAATCTCGTGAGGAAGGGACAATAGAAAATCAAAATGTCAACAAAAATAAAAACAAAACCAAAACATGGACAAATAGTCAACACAAAATAAAGACAGACACATTAACAAAAAAGGAAGCAAGATATTTGCATGACTACCATAGCAAACCAGAAAGAGCTATTAGGAACAACAGAAATCAAATACCAAATAAATACAGAGATTACATAATGCATATGGATGGTGAACAAATAACACCTAATACATATGAGGAAGTATTAAAACTACCACGTGAAGAAAAGGAAAAATGGGAACTAGCTATGAAAAAAGAGATGGAAAGTTTGCAAGGATTAAATGTATTCACACCTGCGATTGCACCTAAAGATAAAACAATTATTGGTACCAGGTGGATTTATAAAATTAAGAACCTAGAAGGAGGCAATACCTTATACAAAGCTAGATTGGTTGCACAAGGTTATGCACAAAAATATCCGGAGGACTATACTGACACATACTCCCCCACAGTAAGAACAGAGAGTGTTAAAACAGCTCTAGTAGTAGCATCCGCACTCAATCTTGATGTATTCCAATATGACATACAGACTGCGTACCTACACGCAAAACTAGATAAGGAAATATATGTAAGAGCACCTCACAGTCAATACACTAATAAAAATGAAATTTGGCTATTGAACAAGAGTTTATACGGATTAAAGCAATCTGGCAAAAGATGGTACGATTGCTTGGTAAAAGTACTTAAGACCATGGATTTCAACGCTACCACTGCTGATAACTGTTTCTTTGTCAAAAAGAGTGATGATCACATTGAATTTGTATTGATTTATGTAGATGATATTTTATATATAGGAAAACACAAAGAGAGAAGAGAAATCTTTGTAAACAAGTTAAATGAACATTTCTCGTTGAAATCTCTAGGTAAAGTAAACAAATACCTTGGTGTACAAATTAACAAAACTAGAAGGGGATTCAAACTTACTCAGAAAGATAAGATTATTGAACTTCTAAACAAATGCAATTTAAACAATGCCAAACCCTGTGACACTCCTATGCAAACTGATTTCCTTAGAAATACTGATGAATCTTCCCCTGAATTCAAGGATAATACATTTTATAGATCAGTCATAGGTTCACTTCTTTATATATCTAATTGGACCAGGCCAGATATTGCATTACCACTCAATTTATTATCAAGGCACGTTAGCAAACCAACAATGTATCACTGGGAAGCTGTCAAAAGAATTTTAAGATATCTGAAAAGTACATTAGACTTTTGCCTAGTATTAGAACCTAGTGATAATAAAGAACCAAGACTTACATGTTACGCAGATGCGGATTGGGCTGGAGATATATCATGCAGAAAAAGTACTTCTGGTTATATTTTTCTGTTAAATGACTGTCCAGTTTACTGGTACACTGGTAAACAAGAACTGGTAGCCACTTCAACCACAGAAGCGGAATATGTTTGTTTATCCAAAGCTGCAAATAACCTTGTATGGTTTAATGATTTAATTTCAGATGTTTGGAAAAAACCTGCTTTGCCTTTTGTTATGCATGAAGACAATAAAGCGGCCATTGAAATATCTAGATCCGATGCCATTGGACAAAGATCCAGGCATATAGATATAAAATTTAAGCATGTGAGACAATTGTCTCAAGATGGATTTATCAAAGCAGTGCATTGTGATACCTCTGAACAATTAGCTGACATATTGACGAAGCCTTTACCTTCTAAACAGCACAAATACTTAACCTCCAAATTGTATGTCTTATATTGTCCTGAATCTGAATGTAATTGGTGTTGTATAGCGAACCGGCATTTAGAGGGGATTTGTCAGATGTAAATGCCTTATTCCCTAATGTGTAAATAATGTATATATGGGATATCAGGGGTTAACTTATTCTTTGACTCTTAATGTATTCATAATTCACCACTCCCACTCTTGGCTCCACCCTTTGTATATATAAGGAGCCACCTTCACCATTTTCTTCGCTTCTATCTGTGAATATTCAGTGAATATAGAATGCCTATTATAATTAAAGAGAAATATATTTAAACCTCTAACTCTCATTATTATTATTGAGTCTGATCCTAAAAATATTGCAACAGGAAGGATATTGCAAAATCTCCATTCCCACCCCACTCCAGGGGAAGGATACTGCAAAATCTCCATTCCCTCCCCCAGGATATTGCAAAATCGCCATTCCCACCACACTCTGGGTCCAGCCAGAGGTGGTATTTGCCGGTTCTCCGAACTACTCAAAATTTCCGCTACCGGTTCTCCAGAACCTGTTAGAACCTGCTGGATTTCACCCCTGGTAAGGATTAAGGAGAATAAAGATTAGATTAACTGGGAATCAGAAGTTTAATGTGAGTGATGTATAAAACAGGCAATATTTTTAAATTATTGTGTCTATAAAGTCTATTTCAAGCTTCAAGTATACCCAGACATGATTTTTCCCCATGCTGAATCTGCTTTCATAATTTTGGAACAAACAAACATTGTGAAAGAGCAAATACATTTGTCTGAATCAGACAGGTTGAGGCATTTAGGCAAATCTTTGGTGAGATTTGGTTTCTTATTGGACAACTAATCCCTATATAGTTATAAGAGTTATCAACTGGCCAGTATAACTCTAACTCGATTTCAAATTCAAAATGCTGTTATTCTTTGTTACTTATATCTCCAATCTATGAGGAGATCCAACTAGAATAGAAAAGTTTCAGTAAATAGAATAGAATAGAAGGAAATGCAATTATTCTTCCCCCACCCCCTATGTAATAATGATAACTGTAAATCCTGTTCCATTCTCAGATGAAATTAAGTACAATGCCTAGATGGTGATTCTGTTCCCCCACAAATCTTCCGCAAAACGTTCTGCCCCCCCCCCAATGTTCCCCCAAATGAAGGGTCCCTAGTTCCTCTGAAATACTTCTGAGGAGGCACAGAAGGAAGGAAGGAAGGAAGGAAGGAAGGAAGGAAGGAAGGAAGGAAGGAAGGAAGGAAGGAAGTCTGGTGATAGCAGCAGCAGCCTCTATCACTGAATAAAATTCTGCTCCTGACAGGGGGAAAACAGAATTTGAGCTGGTCCTTTTCGGTTTACAGCAACAATCTTTTGTTTTAGTTATTCTTTTTGATAATGAAATGCTTGAATTAGTTGAAATATTTATTTTTGGACCATCTGTTTTGAAAGAAAATGTCAATAGTCTTGAATACTCAGTTATAATGAAAAAAAAAAGGAAGGAATATTTCACTCCACCCCATGCCCATTCCCCACCCCCTTTTTTACACATGAACAGTATTCCTGTTGTGCATCATCTTGGATCAAAAAAGTTCCTGTATTTTTATTGTCTTGTTCCAGATCTGCTTCCACCAGGAGTTTGCAATCTTCTTAACCCTGCAGCTATCTATGCAAATAATGAGATTAGCTTGGGAGATGTTGAGATCTATGGCTTTGATTATGATTATACGTTGGCACAATATTCAAACTTACTACATTCAATGATATTCAACGCTGCCAGAGATATCCTAATTGAACAGTATAAGGTAAATTTGCATTTTTCATAATCTCTTCTTGTGTGAGGTTTGATCTGTAATAGATTGGGGCAGTATGGTGTGGAAGTGGTTTTAAGATAAGTACTTTTTCTTCCTCTACATTCCATGACTTGTTTGTGTTTCTAGATTCTGACTTTATTTTTTGTTAGCTTCCACATTCTACTGAGATATGGTATTACCATTTATATTGGTGGAAAAGGCTTAAAGCAACAATTTTTTCCCTAATTCTTTTTTTCACCTGTTAATGGAACTACTAGACCCACTTTTCTCTATTCCTTGCTCAGCCTCTACGTGACTTTTTAAATTATTTATTTTAGAGCTTATATGCCTTTCCTTTTTTATTATAATTTTATTGATGTTTAAAATTACAAAGTTAAAAAATAATACAAACCAAGGAAAATATAAACAAAAAAAGTAAACAAAGAGGAAAAGAAGGGATGGGAAAAGGGGAAAAAATATAAAAAAGAAAAGAAAGAAATATGGAAAGAAATAATTTTCCCTTTCATCAAGCACAAACATTTTCAGTAGCTTGATATCTTCTCTAATTTTTAACCAAAAACTATCTTCATCCCATATCACATCTTTTATCTATCGGCAAATAATAAACTCTCATCTTTCAATTTTAATCAGCAAAAGTCCCTTAAGTGATACCAGAAATAAATAAACACACAAACACACGTACATATTGTGTGTGTACATATACACACTTTAAACAAGTAAATCATAATTCTTTCCTTTCATTTACACAATACCTTGTCAGTTTCTCTAAAACTCTTCTTCCCATGGTCTTATACAGTATCTATAAACGGATGTATAAAAACTCATAATTCAAACTTAATCAAGAAAAATTCTATTAAGTGCTACTAGAAAATTGAAAATATTAATATTTAATCCCTTCAAACGATATTTCACAATTAATTTGTTACCTTCTCTTCATTTCTTATTGGGCCAATCCAGCATCCTTATGAAAGGCTCTGATTACGGCTTCAGGAAAGAGGCCTCTCCCAATACCCAGAGTTCTAAAACCTGACAGAAACTGCTACTTTATGGCCCAATCATGGGAAAGGTCTGTAAGGAGCACTCTGGGCAATCCCAAATCCTCTGTTTCTCTGAAAGGAATCCTTCACCAGCTCTATTTTCCACCACAATCCTTGGCTCTGCTAAAACCAAAGCTAAAAGTAGTCTGCCATTACTTCCTGGAAATAGGAGTTTATATGCCATTTCAATGTTCCAATTATGAATGGCTTAAATACCCCATTTTCATAAATAAGATCATGATGTACAATATGTCTGAATATAACATATATATGTTTGTGTCAAACTTAAATAAAATCACCCCTCAGAGGAAAGCTCACATTTCTACCCTTAAACGGGCTGCTGGGGGTTCACAGGGATTTGGGAGAACCTCTAGCTAAGTTTCTGTGCAGTTTGGAGATCCCCCAAATCCCACTCCTGGCTGGCCCTGCCATGCCCACCCCGCCATGCCCCTATGTACCTACGTGGCCTCTTTTGGATGCTGGTAAGTGCAGGGCGTGCGCGGAGGCTTGGGTAGGGCAAAAAATGGGCCTACCGGAAGTTCAGGAAGGGGGCCTCCAGAGCCTGGGGAAGCCGTTTTCACCCTCCCTGAGGTTCAAGGAAAGCCTCTGGAGCCTGGGGAGGACAAAAACACACACACACCTGCCATGGTGCAGGAGGCCGACTAGGCCACACCCACCCAGCCACCAGGCAGAGAGCTCCTTGCTAAAAAATTTTAAGCCCACTCCTGCTCTTAAGGCATGTTAAAAAAAAAAGGACCAGGTTTCTCCATCTTCTCTATACTTTTCCTCACTTCTCCCTCTGCAGTTGTCCAATGATTTTAATGGTTCATTATAAATCTGTTCTAAAACTATATTCTATACAATTTGCTTGTTGTCTAGATTTCTACCAGTTTTTAAATAAGCAAAATATAGCATGTATCCCAGTTTGGAAGAATATATTCATTCTTTCTAATGAAATGTTTTGTAGTACCCAGAAGGACTCAGGAAATACGAATACATTCCTGGTTTTGCCATAAGAGGGCTTCATTATGATGTGCACAAGGTGAGTGAACATGTGAACATGTTTTCAATTGGTCTTTCACAGTATTTCACAGTAACATCATTTGGGTCCATGTGGAAACTGGAAACATTGAAGTATCTGGTTAGTTTGTTAAATTACAGCTATTCTTGGAAAAATGAATTAATAATGGTGTATGTATGCATATGGCTTTACATATTACACATATACACAGAGAAACAGTCATCCTTGAATTATAACAGCAATTTAGGACCAGAATTTCTATCACAATCATGTGACCAGAAGTCACTGCAACGTTATAATTGTGAGTCAGTTACCAACAACCCAAAGCCCAATTATGTGACTACAGGGTCACTGCAGTGGCCACAATTTTGCAGATCGGTCATAAGTTTCCTTTGTTCAGTGCCAACACATAATTGAACAAGTGATCATAATCCTTGGGCTACCTATAAAGGACTTCTTTCTCTGTAGTTACATAGTATGACAATCTAAAAATCAGTTAATAAAGACTGCAGTGGAATATTCTTGCTTATAGTTTAAGATTTTCTAAATTTCACAGCTACATTTAGCATGTAGGGTTTTTTTCCAAAAAGAAAGAGGAACTTGATGCTAATAAGGCCCAAAGTGGCTTGGAGAATATGGGAAGGATGTTAGGAAAGCCTTTTTTCAGCATTTTGCAGGCACAATTGCAATCTCTGTAAAAAATGTTAAGGTACTTTATCATCTTATTTTGTCCTTCCGCCAGCATTATTTTTGTCTCCAGTAGGGAATAATTACAACACTAACAAATCCTTAATCTTTGCTAACTGTACAGCATTAAAAAAAAAAACATTTTCCTGAAAGTTAGAAGCAGGATAGGATGTGGTGTGCTAAAAATTTAAGCACTGCAACTGATCTTAGAAAAAGACATTGTCACAACAGTTGATGGTAAATGAATAAAATGCTCTCATCTGGCAACTCTTCAGACGATAAATAGAGATCAGATAAAATAGTAGGAGTTACCAAAAATAACATCAGAGCATTACCATGAAAAAAAAAGGATCTTTCCTTCTTAGATAATTTAAAATAGAAGATGTCAGTATGACAGCTGCGAGAATCCCAATTTGTCTTACTGAAGAAATAAAACTGATCCCTGAAATTATGCAACGTTGCCTATTGATGGGCTAGAGAGGTACATCTCTCTGCAAAAATAATAAGAGTGTGGTGCTTCTATTTGAACAAAAATCCTTCTGTCCTTTTCTTTCTTCAGTGGAAGTAGAAATAGTGTATACAATAACACTCTGCACAGACATAAACAACAAAAACAACAACAACCAAGGGGTTTCCAACATCATATACATCATATTTATATCTGCCAATATAGCTTTAAATACATTACCTTGTGAAGAATAGTTTTGTTCGTTCTTCTTGTAACATTAAATTCTTCCAGGTAAAAGTATGAAATATTTACCCAATAAATATCTACCTTTCTTTTAGAGCCTTCTGATGAAGATTGATGCTTTCCACTATGTTCAATTGGGCACTGCCTATCAGTGAGTTTAGCAAAATTGCATGCACTTTCTGGAGCTGTTGACCTTCATAGAAGCAGCTGTTCTTTATGCAACATTTAGCATAGAAATCAGAAGCAAATATGGGTCATGGGTGATGACACAGGACTGTTTACTTGCTCCAGGGAAATGTCTTGAGTTGCTAAAGTCTGAGTGTCCTGGCAAGTCTTTCTGAAATCAGCTTCAGAGGAAACCATACTGTGCCAAATTAAAGGATCAATGACTACAATGTTGGACATATCAGAACAAATTTCGCTACAAATATTAGGAGATTAATTGCTATCATATTACAACTCAGTTTGCATGGGAAAAAAACATTGTTTTTGTTATGATTCTTTGAGTCAAACATGACTCCTGGTGATGACAAGTATAAGCTGTGCAATTTTCTTGGCAACGTTTTTTCAGAAGTAGTTTCTCACTACCTTCTTTAAGATTCAGTTTGATTTGCTAGTCTAGGGCTAAGACTGGCCTGGAATTATGCAGCAATTTCCATGGTTAAGGAAGGGCTAGAACTTGGGTCTCCCTGTTCCTATTCCGGTGCCTCTACTTAAAGCACTGCAACAACTTGGCTCTCTTAAAAAATCAAGAGTTCTATCAAAAGTATAGATGTTTTCGTGATGGCGAACCTATGGCATGTGTGCCACAGGTGGCACATGGAGCCATATCTGTGGGCATCCGAGCATTGCCCTAGCTCAGCTCCAGTGTGCATGTGAGCGCCGGCCAGCTGATTTTCAGGCCTTCTGGGCCCATCGGAAGTCGGGAAACTGGTTGTTTCCAGCCTCTGGAGGGCCTCTGAGGGGGTGGGGAAGGCTGTTTTCGCCCTCCCCAGGCTCCTAGAAAGCCTCTGGAGCCTGGGGAGGGTGGAAAAATGGGCCTTCCAGTCCCACCGGAAGTTGGGAAAAGGGCTGTTTCTGGCCTCCGGAGGGCCTCTGGAGGGCCTCTGGGGTGGGGTGGGGAAGGCTGTTTTCTCCCTCCCCGGGCTCCTATAAAACCTCTGGAGCCTGGGGTGGGTGAAAAACGGATCAACCGGGCCCACCGGGCCATTGCGTGCCAAAAGCAGGGAGAGCGCAGGGGGGAAGTCATGCGTGCATGCGTGGGAGGCAGGGCACATTAAATTATGGTTGTGGGCACGCGCATGCGTGACCCACCCCGCGTGACCCTCGCTTTTGGCACGTGACGGCAAAAAGGTTAGCCATCATTGGTATAGACCATTGAGCTTCAAAGTAAATGTTACTTTGTTTTTAAAATGTTGCTGCGGGATGCGGAAGAATTTGCAAAATTAAATCAGCTTACAGCATTGCAATCCATGTTAGTTTTTATTTTGGAAATGCAATGAAAAGCGGAAAATTGATAAAGTCTAGATCAGAGTTTCTTAAAATGTGGTCGTAGGACCCTTGGGGCTGTGTCAATACTCTCCAAGAAGTCCGTGAAATCAAAATTATTTTCCAGCCTATATTAAAAAATAATACAATATTGAAATCCCTTCAAACAATCATGAGAAGCAGCATGGCAGGAAAATGAGTCCATCTTAATTTTTAATCTTTAAATATTGATTATATAAATAAAACCTCTTTTGGGATCCACTATGTTGTTTAAAAAATGGGAAGAGAAAAAAGTTTAAGAAACACTAATTAGACTAACTTTGAACAAAGAAGAAATAAAAATTCATGTTTTAAGGAAGCAGTATTTGCTAATGAAGCTGCATTTGAGTAATACTCTTCTACTTCTTCAACTAAATGTTGCCCTATTAATCTGCTTTTCTGCTTTGGTTAAAAATTAACTCAGTGTAGAAAAATTAAATCCCCTTTTCTTTTACAACCTTATCTTATGTAGTTCTTTGCATATTCTGGAGACATTTTCTCTATAGGCAACTTTTCTTATAATCATGGAATATTTAAATTTCTGGCTCTCTTATATTGGCTGTTTCATTTTCTTCAGAAACTTGAGTTCAAGTAACATTAATAATATTCAAAAGTCACTTAGGTCAGTAGAACAGCAATGAATGTTAAACAAAATGTTTGCCACTAGTCTTCATTAATATCTTGATAAGAGCCAAATTATGTCAATTCACTTGCACAACTTCTCTTCAGATTCATTGCCCATAAAGATAAATTTTTCTCGGAATCAATTCTTCTCAGCATTTTGAGATTTTGTGAACCTGCATGTTTTCTTGGCAATGCCTTCTTTTGAGATGCTTTTGAGTAGGATAATACAACTCTCTTAAAAAGCAACCCCCTTAAAGATTTTAGGATAATATGAGCTTAGGTGTCTACTAAATTTTAATATTTTCTTGACTGAATTATTGTAATTTGTTTTTAGGGGGCTAAACCCAGTGCCTGATGAAGAAGTTATTGAAATGTATGGTGGAACCCAACATATCCCATTATATCAGATGAGTGATTTTTATGGCAAGGTAAAGTAAATTCACTTTACTAAAAATGTATTGGATTTAAATGAATTAAATGCTGAAAATCCAATCAGATCATCTTACCAGACCAGAAATTCAATAGGAAAAATGTTAATGATATCTTCGTCATATTGCGAAAGGCAGTACCAACAGTAGTAGTTACAAACACATTTAACTAATTTTTTTAAAAAAATCCACCAAGTCAATGTTTTGAAGTTCTATCTGTTGATTTCTTTCTAGAGTAAACAATGGTTATTAGTTCCCCACAGTTTGTACAAAGGTACACCAATAACGGTCATGTATTGTTTACAGTGAGTATTTTGTATTTTGTAACAGAGACCTCAGTAAAGTGTTTTTTTTTCCCTTAAATAATCCAGGCTCACAAAAGATAATTTAATTGTTGCTTCATTGTAAATATGAAAAATCTGACCTAAAAGCCCATGTTTTTGTGTTTTATTTATTCCTTTTGAAAATGATCGTGATCATAAAACAGCCACATAAATGCTGTGTTGCCATCAAGCATTTAATCTTTAATCTAATTGTTTAGTTTCATTAGCATAATGAGTGGTAGCACTACTCGATAATGGAAATAAAGTAATAGTAACGGTTTTATTTATCTGCCTCATTCTATTGTAGGTCGAAAAAGTAGTTGGGAAGCCAACAAACTATGTAGAATTTATTGTCAATGGCAAAGTAACATGGTTATCTCCTCTATCTGGACTATCTTTTTTTCCTTTTCATATAATGTCAGTTTTAATTTAATATAATATAGGAAATTTTTATTTTTATAACAAATACATCCAAAATAAATCAGTTAACTCTTTCACTGGCTCATTGTTTTTTTGTTTTTAGTTCAAATGTGTAAAGTTGGACTAACGAGTTACTTTTTAGTTTCTTGCTGTTAATAAAATAACACATACTCCTGTTGTCCTTGGACTATCTTTAGGCATATGTGATCATTTGGTCTATGAACCTGAACTTGGTAATCACTCAGTATCATCAGAATTTCTCTGTATTTTAACTGGATCCACCCTTTATAAATAGCATTCTGTCTTGCCAAGTTTTGGGTTGCACTGTGTATGTGATATTCTGTATACACAAAGAGAAGTCCATAGTTTAAAGAGCCATGGCTTTTCTTGTTTAATGCAAAATAAATGGTTCTGGACAGAGAGCTTATGAAGTTATAAAATATATTGTACAGCCTTCCTTCTCCCCCCTCCCTTCCTCCTTCCTGGGCTAGATAAAATAGACGTAATCCTCCTTCTATAATCACAATCGAGTCAAAATTTCTGTTGCTAAGTAAGACAATTGTTAAGTGAATTTTACCCCATTTTCAATTAATCAGAATAGAGCTGGAAGGGTCCTTGGAGGTCTTCTAGTCCAACCCTCTGCTCAAGCAGAGACCCTATACCATTTCAGACAGGTGGCTGTCCATTCTTTTCTTAAAAACCTCCAGTGATGAAGCACCTACAACTTCTGAAGGCCAGCGGTTTCGCTGATTAAATGTCCTCACTGTTAGGAAGTTTCTCCTTAATTCCAGGTTGCTTGTCTCCTTCATTAGTTTCCATCCATTATTTCTTCTCTTGCCTTCTGGTGCTTTGGAAAATAAGTTGACTCCCTCTTCTTTGTGGCAGCCCCTCAAATACTGGAATACTGCTGTCATGTCAACCCTAGCCCTTCTTTTCTCTAGACTGGTCATACCCAATTCCTGCAACTGTTATTCATATGTTTTTGTCTCCACGCTCTTAATCATCTTAGTTGTTCTTCTCTGCATTTTTTCCAAAGTCTAAACATCTTTTTTAATGTGACTAAAACTGGATGCAGTATTCCACGTGTGGTCTTGCTAAAGATTTATAAAGCGATACTAATACTTCATGTGATTTTGATTCTATGCCTCTGTTTATACAAGGATTGTATTAGCTTTTTCGGCTGCTGCCACACACTGCTGGCTCATGTTTAAGTGATTGACCACTAGGATTCCAAGGTCCCTCACAATTACTGTTTTTGAGCCAGGTTATACCTAATCTGTACTTGTACCTTTGTTTTTTTTTCCTGCATAGGTGTAAAACCTTGCTTTTATCCACATTAAATTTCATGTTGTTGGATAGGACCCATTGTTCAAGTCTGTCAAGATCTTTTTGGATACTGAGCTTGTCTTCTGGGGTGTTAGCTCTTATGGTCCACTCAGTGTCATCTGCAAATTTGATGAGTTCCCCCTCTATTTCCCCATCTAGGTCATTTATTGAAGAATACTAGGCCTAAGACAGAACCTTGTCGTACCCCACTGTTTACTTCCCTCTATGGAGATGTAGTACCATTAAGGACTACTCGTTGAGTACAGTTTGTCAGCCAGTTACAAATCCATCTGGTGGTGATGCTGCCTATCCCCCATTTTTTTAGTTTATCAAGTATTTCATGACAATTTTAGCCATAGTTGTTAAGGGAATCACTGCAGTTAAGTTAGTAACACAGTTCTTAAATAAATCTCACTTCTCCATTGGACTTTGATTATGAGAAGGTTGCAAAAGTGATCACATAATTCCAAGACACTGCAACCATCATACATAAATGCCAGTTGCCAAGCATCCAAATTTTGATCATATCACTATAGGATGCTGCGACGGTCGTTAAGTGTGAAAAAAGGCCATAAGTCACTTTTCAGTGGTGGTATAACTTCAGACAGTCATTAAATGAATGGTTGTATGTTGAGGACTATGTATAGTAAAAAAAATATGGAAATGTCCAAATGCAAGACAATAATCTGAAGTGCTCTTGTAAAACCCCATGAAAAAGGCAAGCTGATTACATGACAAAAGCTTTGTCAAAAAATATTTTTAATGTTTGCTTGCTCAAATATTTTATCATTACAGAATGTTAAATTGTGTGTTATAAAAGTATATAAATCATAGGACAGTATGATATTTTATACTGATGCACTTTGTGAAAAGAATAATGGCTGGGATGTAACATTTTGTTGATTAATTTGTTTTTGCATTAAGCTGCATGAAGCACACAGATTTCTTATCTCCCTGTTTTTCTTTGGCCAGCCTCTTTGATAAGTTCAGGGATTTGCAGACAATCATAATATTTGAACAGAAAAAGCCAAGCCAGGCTTTGATAGCTATCAGCAAAATGGATATACGGCTGCCAATGTAACTAACATTTGGCTTTCAATACAAGTGGGAAAACATGGATTTTATTTATTTATTAAATTTATATGCTGAATCTCACTGTCAAGTGACTCTGGGTGGCTCCCAGCATCGCATAAACAATAGTTAGAAACATTAAAACATTTAATATTAAAATTAAATGTTTCATGAATTCATTTATTCATTTTTATTCAATTATTAAATGAATTAAATGAATCAGGTAGACATCGGCCACCTAAATAAAAGGCAAAAAGCAGTCATGCACAAAGCTCAGGAACAAAGTCACAAACCTTTCAAAATCCAGCAAACCAAGTGACTGGTGATTGTAAAAATGTCCATATACCTCCTTCCCCCCAAAGTTCAACTAACTAAGCAAATCACTGTATTAGTAATTTGAGCATTTATGCACTTTCAATATGAGTGATCCTATAGCTGGACTGATGAGGCTAGAAAAAGTATGGGGGAGGGGGGAGAGAAAAACAACCTAGTAAAAAGTCATAAAACAAGAAACTGACATTTTTGAAAATGCCAAGTTTATTCTGAGTTCAGAAAGTTTACTGTCTCAAGATTAAAATTATAGGAATGTGGCTGGATGACTGGTATGTTTATTTCTCAATTAGCAGCGCCTTTTGGCTTGGGAAAAAATATAACAGTGATGGCATTAGTTCTTTTGTCTTGTTAATGTGCTGACTGAATGTGGGAATGAAGTAGAGAATTAGAGTTTCCCAAAGCAAGCATATTGGTTATATCAGCAGCTCAGCCTGAGAAACATAAAGCAGGATATGTGTTAAGCAGGGGAAAGGCAGGGAAAAGAAGCATGGGATTTAAATCACAGAGGACATAAGAAGAAACTTGCTCTCAGTTGACTGAACAATCATCTAGTTTCATTCTAGTACAGTGATGGCTAACTTTTTTGCCATCGCATGCCAAAAGTAGGGGTCACGCGGGGGGCTCGCATGCGCATGTGCCCACACCCATAATTCAATGCCCCCCACACCCTCACGCATGCGGCATGACCTCCCTGCGCTTCCTCCGCTTTTGGCACACAACAGCAAAAAGGTTACCAGTGGGCCCGCAAGGCCCATTTTTTGCCCTCTCCAGGCTCCAGAGGTTTTCTTGGAGCCTGGGGAGGGTGAAAACGGCCTTCCCCACCCCCCACAGAGGCTCTCCGGAGGCCGGAAATGGCCCGTTTCCCAACTTCCAGTGGGCCCAGAAGGCCCAAAAATCAGTTAGCCGGTGCATGTGTGCGCGCTAGAGTTGAGCTAGGGCAATGCTCGCATGCCCACAGATATGACTCCCACAGGTGGCACGCGTGCCATAGGTTTGCCATCACGGTCCTAGTATATACCAAAAATTCTTATCTAGCTGTGTTCTGGCATTTGTCTGGTAGTTTCTCTCAGTCAGCTAAAGAGCAACTCAGGTTTATTTAAACAATTGAACAGACTCTCTTGAAAATCCAGATAATTCTGGATTCTTATATCATTTCTAACTTTCTAACTAGTTGCTGTTTCAAATGCTTTATATTCTAATTTATATTTTACCATTTGGATTTTAAAATGCTTTATATTTTAATGTTTAAAAATATATTTTTTTTAAATCCATTGGTCAATTTTTCTGTTAGTTGAACGGCTGATAGAAATCAGAAGGAACTGATTACCTCACCTATTCTTGTCCTTGGAAGGTGAAAAGTAAAATGCAAGGTGTTGTTTTGTTTTGCTTTTTCAAATTCTCACTCTTTTCTCTGGCCAGAACTCAAAATGTTTTAAGTTTTGTTCCACTAAAACATGGAAAAGTTGAGCTATTTTTTGGTCCATTGGAAAATAGCCAGCAGGAAAAGTTGGTGGAATATTTTGAAGGAGCTGATTTTTTCTTGCATTCCAATCTAAACGTGTTTTTCATTTCTTGCACAATGCTAGTTCTAAGATCATTTAAAATTATTTTCAATAGCAAAAGGAAAAAATCCTGGGAAGATGCTTTTTTGTAGTATAATTATTTTAAGCTTTCAACCCTGAATAAGGAGGTTAGGAACTAACATTGTAGGCATTTCAACGTTTTCTACAATTTAGTAAATAATTCCCTCAACACTGTCAAACTAGTTATTAAGTCTGCATTACTATTAATCTTCTCATCATTCCTATCACCCATCTCCCACTTATGACTGTATGACTGTAACCTTGTTGCTGGTATCCTTATGATTTATATTGACTGTTTCCCTATGACTATCATTAAGTGTTGTACCTTATAAATTCTTGACGAATGTATCTTTTCTTTTATGTACACCGAGAGCATATGCACCAAGACAAATTCCTTGTGTGTCCAATCACACTTGGCCAATAAAGAATTCTATTCTATTCTAAAGAGTTTTCTGGATATGTATAATATTATAATGTTTCATAGTTATTGGTTAATTTACTTCAGAAAGGGCTATAATGCATTAGACATGCATATTATGGCATTAAAATTATTTATTGCTGGAACATATGCAAAAAGCAGTGCAAATAACCCTAATAGCCAAAATTTGCTGGATCCAAAATTAGCTTTGGAGTTTGGAGTTAAATGACAGGGAACATAGTTTAATCTTCTAGACCTTTAATGAATGAGCTTTCTGGGCAATTAATTTATGGAATTTGTAATAGTTTCTTCTTTATGCTATTCATGTATGCAGTTGGCTATTTCTAATTATTCCCAAATATAAAAAGATGAACTAACAGTTTAAAGCAGACAGAAATCACATATTCTTTAGATCAGCCCTTAGTTTTGCTGGAAGAAAAAATAGCTTTGAAAGTATTTTATATTTCTAATAGAAAAATGTGTGTCAAGTTTCCAGTATAGTATAATCAAAAACATCTCATTCTTGTGTTATCTAACTGGATGAGTCTTTCATAAGCATGGCTTATTTAAATTCTTATTTATGAATGGAATGCTGCAGGGGCTGATTCTACATGAATAACAAAGCCAAGAATATCTTTTGCTCTGCTGTAAAAAAACAATGTGGTATTTATACATTAATTTTACAAGGGAGAGCATTTATCTTTAATACCATCACATTTTGTTGTCTACAATTCAACATCTTTTTTAAATAATAATAATATTTTGTTTTTCTGAGTAGGGTCCATCGATTAAACAATTTATGGACATTTTCTCTCTTCCTGAAATGACCCTACTTTCATCAGTGACTGACTATTTCATGACTCATAATATTGAGTATGACCAAGTTCATCTTTTCAAGGACATAAGTGTAAGTATAATTCTTCTAGAACAGGGGTGTCAAACTCAAGGCATTTTTGGCATTTTTGCTGGCTGAGGGTTTCAGGAGGCCATTGCAGCTGAAAACGGAGCTCGGGAGCCCGTTTCGCTGACAGAGTGCTTGGTCTGCCACAGGTGCCCCCCGACACAAGTGCCATTGAGCTGGCCACACCCACCCCAGCTCCCCAAGGTCAAACTCAATCCTGATGCGGCCCTCAATGAGATTGAGTTTGACACCCCTGTTCTAATACATAACAGATGAAAAAATAATGAATTAATATTGTTTGTTCAAATACATGTCAGAAGCATCAAGGTGCTTCTGGACTGAAAGGATTAGCTGGTGACTTCACCGTTGCCTGGGGGATGCCCTATTGGGGACCCCTTTCATGTCCCCATTAAGGTGCCCACTTAAGTGGTGCCTACCTTTGTGGTTCAATGTTTTCAAACTGCTGGTCAGCAGGAGCTGGAGTGAATGACGAGATCTAACCCCATCACACAGTAGAACTCGGGTGTCAAACATGGACTTGCTGATCATGAACCCAGCATCCTAACTACATGAGCCCCCGCGGTCGCTAATAAATATTGTTTAGACTGGTCTTTTTGGTAGCTTTATAACAACGCATAACAGCAGGTTTTACAACTAGCACCTAATTTCTCTTTCCAATTTTAGGATGCCATAAAAGATGTCCATGTGAAAGGAATGATGTACAAATGGATTGAAAAGGATATGGGTCAGTGAAGGCCAATCGTTTAATTGTGAATAATAATGAGTACCACATGTAATGGTTTTAGATCAGGGTAGTGAAACTTTATGCAGATTATCTTGCAGCTAATAAGCCAAATCTGTTTTCCACCAAGAGGTAGAACCAAAACAACAAACTTTTTTTCTGCACCTTGTGTATATTTATTAGCATTCATAGTTGTGATCACAAAGATGTTTCTATGTAACTGTTTGATTTGTTAATGTCTTTACAGAAAGAGTTAGGTAAGCGAGAGAAGGAAGAGGTTTCTTTTCTCCCTAACCGAACTACTGTAACACTGCAATCTATGTATAAAAAATCTTCATCCAATAACTATGTGGGTAATATTTTTAACCATAGTTGGTTTAGACATTGAAGATTAGAAAGGCCCTGCACCAGTGGTGGGTTTCAACCGGTGTTACCACCAGTTCGCTTCGTGCATGCACTTTCCATGTGCAAACTTGCACTCTGCGCAAGCACATTGCATTTCAGAACAGCTGAGGTGCAGCAATCCACTCTGCAGCACCTATTAGCTGGGCGGGAGGGCCCATCTGACAGTCAGAACACCTCACCATCGTGGCAACCGGCTCACCCAAACCGGGGCTAACCGGTAGCAACCCACCACTGCCCTGCACCCAATGGGTCCCTTCCTGTGCTTCAGTACAGATGTGAGCAATCAAATCTAGTTCAAGAGATGGATTGCCTGATCCCACATGCAATAATTTAGCATCTGAGTTATGTCCGTTACTGAAATTTCATTCTTACACTGCCCACAATTATTTTACATCACCTAATTGTCACTTTCTGCTTGGCAAAAGAAATGTGAGTTGAGAACAGAGATTTAGAGAAAGGAAGAACTCTTGGGCCTGTCATTCTTTCCTTCTTTGGAGAACTCCCATACTTTCTGTAGATGGATTACCAGTATTTCATTATCACCAGGTGAAATGTAACTAAATTGTATCTTTTACCATTATAATATTCAAATGCTTATAGTATGCTTAGCTTCACCTGTTTCTTGCAGAGAAATATATTCTTCATGGAGATGAAATATACGCTGTCTTAAATAGACTGGTTAACAACAACAAAAAACTCTTTCTCATCACAAACAGTCCTTTTAGTTTTGTGTAAGTATTAACCTGCATGATTCATCTTGATGAAATGATCAGTCATGCACAGACATAAAGAGAGAAATATGAGGACTGAAAATGTTCAGTGAAGATAGCTTATCTTAATAGCATCATACGATTCAGTGACCATTAATACTTTTATACTTTCTCATACAAGCCTGTCTTAAAATCTAATTCCCACAATTGTAAAGATGTACTTTTAAAAATGGTAAAGTTGAATCCTTTACTTTTCAAACATTCAACATTATAGCACACTAAGGCCAGTGTGCTATAATGTTAGAAGGTCTCTATATGTTTTTCATATCTCAGCCTTCCCTCTCTCTAATTAAAGTTTCATATTAAAAAAAAAAAAAATCTGGGGAGAGCTAGTAGTGTTCTAGGAAATTTTTAGGTCTCTAATATTCTGTAATACCTAAAATCCTACTTCTCATAAAATGATATGGTCTCACATTCTTAGAGGTTTTGGAACAATTGTAAAAAAATGAGAAATATAAAACATTAATGTTGTTCTTAGTAAATGTTATCGGAGTGTTTAGAGACATAAAAACCATTCTTTACAACTCCAAACAACTCCAAACATGCCTCAAATCAAAGGCGGTATTTGTTCAGTGCCTGCACTCCTTAGTTGTCTATAATCCTACAAATTGGTTCCTTAAGTAATCCCTATAAGAGTCTCAGTGTTGTTGATGGCCATTATATACATAATGTTTCTAACAGTGGGATTGATAGCAAATCCTGGCTGCATTGGCCAAATCCACTCATTTTCTAATCCTAGAAAAAGAAGAAGGCTTTGAACTTTGCCTAAGAAACTTCTGGGAACAAGGCTTGCTTTTTCCAAATGCTTATAAAGTTAAGCATTACCCGGGAGCCAAGATGCCATTCTCTGCTAATCCCCAAATTGATGAAAAGCCACATATTCTTACCAGCTAACAAAGCTAGTTAGGAACTGTGCTGCTTGCTTTGTGTACTAAATGACACATAATCAGAAATACTGCATGAAGGAACTCTGAGAGTAGCTGTTTTGCTTAAGAAAGTGAACAGTGAAGTTACTTACATTTCCCCCCTGTTTTGCCTATAGCGATAAAGGGATGAAGTACATGGTTGGCAAAAATTGGCAGGACCTTTTTGACATGGTCATTGTGCAAGCAGATAAGCCCAGTTTCTTTACCGATAAGCGAAAGTAAGTATATTGGTTGTATTACTTTTTCTGCCATTAATAATTAGCTGCCTCTAAAGCAGAACTGGTCCCAAAATGTACCATATCATGATGCCATACCGTGGATATTATCCTAGCATCTTGTGGCAGGGAGGAATTAATTTTGCAAGTGATAGGATTTTAAGGAATAGATGCCAAGTTATTCTGTACAATTAAAGTCTTGCCAGGTCAGCTCACACTTTTAAAACTATCTTCCAGATTATGTGTAAACATATTAAATTGTTTCCCAGTCTCATGAGAAGAATGTTGAGGCCTTTTTTTTTCTTTTTGTGATGCTTTAATCCTTAGTTTTGGGGTGAAGTCAGGGCGACTGAGTGGAGCTGAACATTTACTGACCATATGTCTTTCCTGATGCCTACTCAGAGTTCACAGCAGATATTTTCTCTTTGCACCCTGATAGAGAAACATCTACTGCTGCCTAGGATTGAACTCTCAACCTTCTGAGTGGGAGGCACATATCTTCAACTCTAGGCCACTGTGCAACTGATGTTGAGGCTTTATTACCCTGTATAATGATAGACACTGAACAGAAAAATTTATCTACAGAAAATTCAAGCTATTCTGGTTTTCATTTGTGTGTCTGCTTATTCTTTCTTTTGGGCTGGATGGGTGTGTGTGAATGTGAGTGTGCATGCATGCGTGTAGTGTAGTGTCAAGTACAGTATGTAGTGTCTGAAGTGTGAAATTTTACAAAATATTGCTTTGAGTGTGGAACTGCTATTTTGAGCACAAGTAAGCCGTTTGCTCCAGAGGGAAAGTGTTTCAAGCCTCAAAGAAAACAGTTCTGAGGTCAAGATTATATTGTTTGGAGCTTGATCTATTTCCAAAATGTTTAAAGCACCTTGTTTTATACTTGGTTCTCAAAATTCCATTTTGTGAAATTTCATGTTTGAAACAAAGTATTATGACATTAATTAAACTAGGAGAAGACTGTCTTTTGGTGTCCCAGGACCATATATAATCACTTGCAAAACTGGAAGGTTGCAGCAATGGGATGAAAACATACATTGGATACAACTCTTTATTATATCATCAGAGCTGGTATTCTTAGGTTTCTTTGGGGTTATTTATGTTTGTTTGTTTTTTCTGAGTTCTGGGTGGTAAAGTTGTTTCTTCTTCTGGGTAACAATTTAGGTTTAGGCTTACCCTGTTTGTGGGTTTCCTGTTTCAAAATAGTTGGAAATCAACCTTCACAGTGCAAGTTAGGGCAGTGTTTCTCAATCTCATCAGCTGTAAAATGAAATCTGAAAGTTGAAGGCCACACATCCTAAAGTCTCTGTGAAATATTGGTTTGGGACAAGCTCCAGAAGTTAGAATATGGGGGAATAAGATAAGTATAACAATATATGCAAGAGCCTCAGCTTTTGCTTTAATTAACACATTTTTCAGTAAATTTGGTTTACGTGATAATAATCTCAGTGCGGGTAGTCCTCAAATTACGACCAAAATTGAGCCCAAAATTTGTTAAGTGGGTTTGCCCCACTTGATGACTTTTCTTGCCAGAGTTGTTAAGTGAATCACTGCAGTTGTTAAGTTAGTAACATGGTTGTTAAGTGAATCTGGATTCCCCATTGACTTTGCTTGTCAGAAGGTCGCAAAAGCTGATCACATGACTGTGGGACACTGCAACACTCATAAATATGAACCACTTGCCAAGCATCTGAATTTTGATTATGTGACCATGGGGATGCTACAGCGGTCGTAAGTGTGAAAAACGGTCATACGTCACATTTTTCAGTGCTGTTGTAACTTTAAAAGGTCACTAAATGAACTGTTGTAAATTGAGAACTGCCTGTACAAGCTTTTCCATTTTATTTCATCTATGTATTACTTTTTTTTTTTTACTTTAATTTATATGCCGCCCTTCTCTAGAGACTCAGGGCGGCTTACAATGTGTTAAGCAATAGCCTTCATACTTTTGTATATTTATACAAAGTCAGTTTATTGCCCCCACAATCTGGGTCCTCATTTCACCTACCTTTGAAAGGATGGAAGGCTGAGTCAACCTTGAGCCTGGTGAGATTTGAACTTGCAGTAATTGCAAGCAGCAGATGTTAATAACAGTGTGCTTTAGTTCACTGTACTACAGGCTCTTTTTTTATGTATTAATTTTTTATGTAATACATTTTTATTTATGTATTAATTTTAGTAGCTAAAGTAATGCACTTGAAATTCTTTTCATTTGCAGTTTAAAAGGTTTTCTTGTAGCATTTTTGTAATGAAGCCTATAACTTCAATGTTTTGACTTTTTGAAGACCTTTCAGAAAAATAGATGAAGAAGGTTCTCTTCACTGGGACAAAATAAACAAACTGGAAAAGGGGAAAATCTATAAACAGGTAAATTACTTAGTTATTTGTCTTTACTTCATGGGGTATTTAATAAATGTTAACTTTCTGGAGTTCACTTCAAATATGAGGATAACATGAAAAATAATCTTTGTTACTTTCCTTTCTAATAGCTTAATTTTCTATTCTATTCATGTATTCTTTCTTTTAAATTGCTAGCATCTCCCGATGTTGAAATTGAACATCTGAGATAATTATATGACAAAAGTTAAATAATGTGTAGTCTGTGCTGGACAATTAACTGTTCTTCTAATTCATGTCCACACTCTTTATTTTAAGATTATTCAGTCTCCATTGTTTTCCCTCAAAAACAATGTTTTTTAATGTTTTCTTTGTAGGCTTAATAGTCAGTTTCCTATTTTCTTTCCTCCAGGAATTAGTATAATCCTCAGAAGGGGGTGAGAAGATTGTTATTACTTGGAAGATGATAATGAAAATTTGCTAGTAATAGACTTTCAGAACTTCAGGACTTATTTTGAACTAGAACCAGGGGTGCTATTCAGCAGGTTCTGACAGGTTCTGGAGAACTGGTAGCGGAAATCTTGAGTAATTCGGAGAACCGGCAAATACTACCTCTGGCTGGCCCCAGAGTGGGTGGGAATGGGGATTTTGCAGTATCCTTCCCCTGCCACGCTCACCAAGCCACGCCCACAGAACCAGTAGTAAAAAAAAATTGAATTCCACCACTGACTAGAACACTAATTTAAACCAAACCCTGGGAACATTTTATTGCTGAAGCAATATAATTTGGGGCATTGTGATTTCATGCTAATTGAACAAGGGTTTGAATCTTGATTTTATTCAGCCAGCAAGAGTCACTCGCATTAATAGAGACATGCTCAGAATTTTCCATCAACAGGAGCTCTGTCCAAACTTCCATTATAGACCTCTATTTGATTGTTGTAGAGAGTCATCAGTCCTGAAGTCGGTTTGCACAGCATGGGATTCAAGGAGGGTTAATTAAAAAGTTGCCTTCTTTGCCTTCTGTTAGTGGAATCTCATTGAATCAGAAGCCTTCCATGGCTGGAAGAAGACCTCCTTTCCATGGGAATCTTGTATGGGATCCAGGCCAATGACTGAAGCATTATCCAGATATATAATGAAGGCAAAATATGACAAAATGACGTATTTGCAAATGGGAACCCTCTGGGAATGAGGCTGGGAAACTAGAAACTACTTTATGAATTCATACCATATGTGATCTTATACATGAGTAGAAGATTTTCAGTTTGGAAATTATTTTGGCCTGCAGCTTTATAAGAGACTGTGATGTGGAAGTCAACAAATTAGCATTTTCAGATCACTGGGACAGTGGGTAAATGATAGTTACGTCTGGTTAACATTTCCACTGAAATTGGCATAATTGGTTCTCTGTTTTGTATCAAGCATTAAAATGTCTTTTGATTAGTGTTAAACAGAGACAGAGAGCTTCAAAGCATGACCATGATAGTTTCAGGCCTATGTTGAATGTGATGAATGTGTTATGTCAATAATAATAAAAGAGACAGCTTGACTTGGTCTCCCATTTTTAATACCTAGTAGAGGGAGATTCTAAAGAGGGATGCGGTGGCTCAGTGGCTAAGATGCTGAACTTGTCGATCGAAAGGTCGGCAGTTCAGCTGTTCGAATCCCTAGTGCCGCGTAACAGGGTGAGCTCCCATTACTTGTCCCAGCTTCTGCCAACCTAGCAGTTTGAAAGCACATTAAAAATGCAAGTAGAAAAATAGGGACCACCTTTGGTGGGAAGGTAACAGTGTTCTGTGCACCTTTGGCGTTTAGTCATGCCGGCCACATGACCAGAGAGACGTCTTCTGGCAGGGCTGGCTCTTCAGCTTTGAAACTGAGATGAGCACCACCTACTAGAGTCGGGAACAACTAGCACATATGTGCAAGGGGAACCTTTACCTTTACTTTTACTAGAAGGAGACTATATTGTTCACAGAAAGGTTGAACTATGAAATAATGGATCTGCAGCAATCCTTATAAAAAAAAATGTGTATCTTGCTTTGAAAATCCTTGCTTTGAGGTATGAAATATTACAACAGGACCTAGATTTGGTATATCAAGTTTAAAATAATATTTCAGCACAAATTCGGTAGGTAACAAACTATCACAGTTGTTCAGTTTACTTAGTGAAGCAGTGGCTTAATTTACTGCCACTAGATGTCTAAAACAATTTATTGCGGCTATAATGGGAAAAGTTTTCCCATTATAGCCGCAATAAATTGTTTTAGACATCTAGTAGTGTGCGTTTGCGTGTATGTGTAAGAAAAAAAAAATACAGCAAGCTAATCATTAAAAGAAATGATAGGATTATAAACTTGGTTTTAAGGAATTCCCATTTTCTTTAATTTGATTCAAGTTCCCGTGAGAACTCCTTAAGCCTCTGTCTCTAGCCGTTTTTAAATAAGCAGCTCATGATGAAGAAATATTTTTCCTTTGCTCTGTAGAAAAATCAAAGTGCTAAGAGATGTATTTTCTTGACCTTTTCAAGCCGAGCATGCAATGTTTTCCTTTGCTATAAAGGAACGGGATATTTGGTTTATTCTCACTTTCTTTCTTTTTTCTACATTTCAGGGCAATCTGTTTGATTTTCTGCGGCTAACAGGCTGGCGTGGCTCCAAGGTCCTTTATTTTGGTGACCATTTGTACAGTGACCTTGCAGTAAGTGCCGCAAAACTTTTTTTTTTTGCATCAGCCGACGTCAGTGTCACTTAATGTTCTGTGTCTGCTATGGAGACACAAAGGGTTTGTTTTGTGCTCATTGAATTAATCAGTGTTGTTTATCAAGATATAGAATGGAAAATATCCAGATCTTAGAGCTTGTGATTTTGAAGTATTCATAACCCGTTAAATTATATTACACGGTTCCTTTTTTAACCAAGTTTAAAAAAGCAATATAGAGTTTAAAAGATTCATTTCTCTCGGTTGTATTCTTTTGAATACCTTTTCCATCCTAAACACATATGTACAGGAACATCTTTTTTAAAAATAATAATTCCTTTTTTTCCTTAACTTGTATGTAACAACTTTCTTATTTTAAAATCAAAATTGTGTTGTCTGTCTATCATCTATCTACATCTATATATTTCTCTCTCTCTCTCTCTCTCTCTCTCTCTCTCTCTCTCTCTATCTATCTATCTATCTATCTCATCTATCTCATCTATCCATTTATCTATCTATCATCTCTATCTATCTATCTATCTATCTATCTCATCTATCTCATCTATCCATTTATCTATCTATCATCTCTATCTATCTATCTATCTATCTATCTATCTATCTATCTATCTATCTATCATCTAATCTATCCTCCATTTTATCTGAGAAGACAAACATTTCTGCCCCAATTTTTTTTTTTAATTTGATTTATATGCCGCCCTTCTCCGAAGACTCAGGGCGGCTTACAATGTGCTCAGCAATAGCCTTCATCCTTTTTGTATATTTATACAAAGTCAGCTTATTGCCCCCACAAACTGGGTCCTCATTTCACCTACCTTAGAAAGGATGGAAGGCTGAGTCAACCTTGAGCCTTGGCGAGATTCGAACCCTGCAATAATTGCAGGCAGCTGGTCTTAATAACCAGCTTAATAACAGGGTGCCTTAAACCCCTGTACTACCAAGGCTCTTAATCCTCTACCAGGATTCATCCTCATATGTAAATGGAATGTTGATTTATAGACATTTCAGCACACAATGTAGAAATGAAATATTTTGTTGTGATGTCCAACTCTCGTCTCTTATGACAGCAATGCTACATCATTCCTTATTGTCATATTTAGTTTGGGGAGGTAGGGTGGGGGCATGAAAATGAAGGATGCTGCAGCTAAAAAAGAAAAATGGAAGAAGCCATATGCATCAGCAGTTCACCATGAATTTTGAAACTAAAGGTTCACAGTTTTGAAGATACAGTATCTTTTCAAACTGAGGGGAGTGTGGATCTGTGCTGCAGGGATTGCTTGTTATGTGATGCCTGTAGCTGGGCTTGTTCAATCAGAAATGAGTTCCACTGGATTCAGTGAGTCTTGATCTTTTGTAAACTTGCACCTCGCTGAACCATACAGAACCACGATTACTGGACCATACACACAGATCTGAAGGGTTCCAGCCTCTGCTTGACATTTCAGGTTGCTGTGTTTATGTCCTGTGGGTGGCTTCCATAGCTATCTGCACACCCTTCTTGGGACTTATGCCACTATTATGAAATCTCTTCAGAGTCCTGCTTTATTTAATTTTTATTCAATGATAACATTGGCTTCTTTGTTAGAGTATCTGGTGTCATAATTTTAGACGTGTATTGTGTTTTATGGAAACCACCTTGATATTTCATTTGGATATTTTTTCTAATCACATAAGAAAGAAAACAGGCCTTGGGATGTCACCCACTTGAAATATTGGGCTAGACAAGATCTGTTTGAGTGCAGGCAACTTTTCTGCAAATGTGTGTCATAATTGTGCCTGGTTAATTAATTTTCTTTTGATGCTGTTTTATAAATAGTATACCAATATCAGGCATTTTTACAGAACATTCTGTTAATACTATTAAGCTAAAACCACCCTTCAGCCATTTTTTTTTTTTACTGTTAAGTATCCCAAAGGTGCTTTTTTCTTCAGGAGGCAATTGGACTTTCTGGTTTTTCTTTGAAGACATTTCACTTCTCATCCAAGAAGCTTCTTCAGCTTCTCATCCAAGAAGCGAAATGTCCTCAAAGAAAAACCAGAAAGTCCAGTTGAAGTCTTGAAGAAAAAAGCACCTTTAGGACAACCCTGACCTGGATGACTGAGAATCTCCATAGACATTTGCTGTTAAGTATTCAAATTCTCAAAGGAGTTCTCAAGAAATAGTGGTTTTTAAACATTCTGCATTATTAGGGGTTTTTCTCTTTATGAAAATGTAAGGGAAAGAAAAGATTAAATGAAAAATGGGGAGGCATCTCATTTTTGCAATTCTTGAGGAACAGATTAATTGTTTTGGGGATTATTTTTTAGTATCAGGGCCAATGCATTCCTATCCTGGAGGGTCATTCCAAGTTCAAAATCCAAAACTGCCATATGATTATCATACTTAATGAGGCTAGTAACTTAGACAAAAACCCATAGATTTATAAGATGTATAGATTTATAAATAGTTATCTTTCTGATTGCGTTGGACAAAGAAAGAAATGCCCCAAATAAGCAGGCAGGGCTATTTTTGTAAACTGGATGAAAAATGTGTCTTTTCCCCCCCTCCCTTTATGATCTTGATGTGCCTCATTCTGCAAGAAAAGTGATGTAAGTGAACTATTGAAGGCTTTTTCTGTAAGGCTGAATCACAGGATCCTAAGTCAGTAAGTCACTCCACTGCCTTTCTCACCTTCTGTTTAAGGACCTCATGCTACGTCACGGTTGGAGGACAGGTGCCATAGTTCCAGAATTAGAAACAGAAATACGAATCATCAATACAGAACAATATATGCACTCTTTGACCTGGCAGCAAGCTCTTACAGGACTTCTGGAGAGAATGCAGGTAAAATAGACTGGGCTAGAGTAAGTAGTACTTGGGCACAGGGGTGGGTTCTACTTACCTTTACTACCGGTTTGTAATGGGGCCAGCCGCACGCACACGCTTTGCTCGCTCGCTCTTCTGCGCATGCCCAGAAGCATTTTGATGACATCAGGTTCTGTGGGCGGAGCCTCCTGCCGGTTTTACTACTGGTTCTATAGAACCGGTGCGAACCGGGGGCAACTCACCACTGCTTGGGCATCACTCTGTAGTTGTCATTTCCTTCAACTAGATTAAGCACAGTTCTTGGATAGGCGTTCTTGATTGTGTTGTATTCTGAAATGTTTTCTGCAAATATTGGAATATGTGGGGTTTTTTTCCTTGTAGAAAGCTCATCTTTAGAAACAGCATTGTTCAGTCATTGGTCTTTTGCTTTAATTTCCTCCTTTTAATTTTAGATGTATCAAGATGCAGAATCGAAGCAAGTGCTTTTAGAGTGGATGAAAGAGCGACAGGAGATTAGGTGAGCTATCTTGTTTATGATGTGTTCTTTTATTCTAGGAATGATTTAAAATGTACACTTTACAAATTGCAAACACAATGTTCTGTTTTAAGTAACATACTACTACAGCTTCTTAATTGGTGCCCTGTAAAATATTTTTATGTTGTGAAAATTTTTATGTTGTAGAAAGATAAAGAATTGGCCAGGTTTGGAACTTCTGGATTTCTCATTTTTGGCCTTGATGAAAATTTATTTTTTTATTTCTTTGATTTTACTTTCCCTCATGGTTGACTTTAGTTTGTTTTCTTTTTCTGGAATCATGTTTTCTCTCAAATTGTTTTGAATTTCTTTAGGCTTCACTTTTTAAAAGCTCATATCTCCTGACTATTGTCCTGTCTTTTTCGTTCCTTGTGCTCTAAATAAGAAACAAACCATTTTCTAAGATAGTCGGAAAGGGGAAAAAAATGAAATTGGGATGGAATTAGCAGATTGTCCAACCAAAACTAGAAACCAACATTTATGATACACATTCCTTGTCTTCTGGGGATAGCAGCAGGATAAGGTGGATCATTGTGTAATATTAGTACATTTTCTATATTCTTTTCTCTTCCTCTCCCAGGTTCTCTATCTAATTTGATTATACCAACTTCTTTCCTTTCAGGTCACTTGCAAAGAATCTGTTTAACCCCCAGTTCGGTAGCATTTTTCGAACCTTCCACAACCCAACCTACTTTTCTCGAAGACTGATTCGTTTTTCTGATATTTACATGGCGTCCATCAGTTGCCTACTAAACTATGATGTGAATTTTACATTTTATCCTCGCCGAACGCCTCTACAGCATGAAGCTCCTCTTTGGATGGATCAACTCTGCACAGGTTGCATGAAGACTCCATTCTTAGAAGAAATGGTGCACATTCGATAAAAGGGATTATGACATGTGTAGTAGAATCTTAGGTTCCTTTTAGGGGACTGCTGCTACCATATGATCACTGTTGTACTTCTGTTCTGAGCACTTCCTAATAGAAAATGAATGGAAAGGTGGCACAAATTTTACATCTGAAATCCTGGTGGTAAAATATATTAACCATGCTTGATTAAGCTCTAAGAATACGTTTTAAATTTGGCATCTGTAATTTAGTCACAGCTGTCTTTGTGTGCTCAGAAAGGTTCTACATGTTGGTCGGGTTATAGTGATTCTGGCAGAGAGATTATAAATCTATTTCTTCTTTAGAACAACATATTCAAAATGTAACTTCCGCACGAATCCTTGCTACATCACCTATACAATATATGAAATAATAGAAATTGAAATAGTTCCTATTCAGCTCACCAATCAGTTCACATTCAGTTACAAATTTGAAGATACTAACTGGTGTATTTCTAAAGAATGGCGTATAGTACATGTCTATATAAACCAGATATGCCATTAGAGACCACACTCATTCATTCATGTGTGACGTGACATCACTCAGATTCACAATTTGATAACATCAGTTAATGTGATATTAAGTATGTAATGGCTCATTTACAAATTCAAGCCATCACTTGATCCTGAATTTATCAGATGATGTATATTTATATATTAAAGCCACCCCTATTTAACATACAAAAAAACAGTTTTTCATAACAGTAGGTGAATAAATTATCTTTAGTTGAATAGCCTATTTCATAAAATGCTAATTTATGTACTGAATTTATAAGAATTTTTAGACATCAAAGCACAAATATACAGATTAAGCTGACCTCTAGACATTGTATGCATGGCTAGAATAATAAAAGATTAAAATAGTGGTTGCTAGAGCCATTACCCAACTATAATGGAAAGGATTTTTCTTCTATCACTAACAGCTAAAAAAAATCATCAGAAAACAAATCATAAGTTTATCTAGTATAAAAATAATGGTCTTTTAGGAATGGTGAATCATCAAAACTAAATTGTTTTGTGTTTCAGAATTTGTGCGGACTTACCATGAACTTTTAAACTTAGTTCAGAGATGCTGGTTTTTTTTAATCCACAAAAGGCTTATGTCTTAGATTAGATATAAGTGTTGTGGGACTCTATTTTTTCTGCACTTGATCATGAACTATTGCCAGTCAGGACCATCGCTGTATCAGAGTCAGATATAAGAAATACATATTAAGAATGGAATGTTCTTGAATTGGAAGCTCTTATTTAAGGCTGGACTTAGGAAGCTGTTTATATTAAGGTTACACTGTTGTGTGTTGGGTTTTACCCGTTAGATTCTCTAATGCTGCTATAATTCAAGTTATATCTATAAATGAAATAATGATTGACTGAGGCTACTTAGATTGTTAGAACTATTCAGATTCTCACTAGAGATGGTTTTCAAGGCATTGGCTTTCAAGGAACGGAAGAATGCTTGAATATCCCAAGATGAACCAAAGAAATCTTTGAGTAGTTACTAAGTTGGTAGTTTGTGATTTCATGTTAGCGATGCGATTTCAACCCATCACATTGGGTTGTCTCCTAGATGCTAGATGCAAGATGATTACAAATTGGAAATTGGATGTTGTATACTATACTCCTTCACAGATTTTAAGCTTTTCAAAAAGTGCCTACTTTTCAAAGTTTTGAAGCATTATCAAATAAGTTATCTCTTACCCAATTTTTTAAAAAAAACACTGTGATAATTAAGATTGTAGTATGTTACAGCATCTTCTGCCAACCTAGCAGTTCGAAAGCACGTAAAAAATGCAAGTAGAAAAATAGGGACCACCTTTGGTGGGAAGGTAACAGCATTCCGTGCGCCTTTGGCGTTTAGTCATGGCGGCCACATGACCACAGAGATGCCTTTGGACAGCGCTGGCTCTTCGGCTTTGAAATGGAAATGAACACCGCCCCCTAGAGTCAGGAACGACTAGGACATTTGTGCGAGGGGAACCTTTACCTATGTTATAGCATACGGATCATGTTAAGACTGACAGATTGCTAAGAATGCTGTTGGTTATTTGATATCTCTTTTCTATCCATCCCTCAAACCAACTTGAAGATTTGGGGAAAATTAACCCCCGACCCAAGTGAGGACTTCTGCACTTTGAACTGCCACTTCAGGGGAAAGACGCACTGTGTGCACAAGCTAACTTGCCATAGTTATGTATGGAAAATAGGAATGTATATGATGATTCTCTACAAGTGTCTGTTCTATAGAAAATTGTTATATTAGGAAAGATCATGGATGTTGCCATCTCTAGGGTTGCATTTCTGGAGCTTTTCTCTGGAGATTCATGTCTCTTCTTTCTTTTGCTGAGACAGTGCCTTTGCTTTGCCAATCCATGGGAACTGTTTCATTGATGAACCACTTTTCACCCATATTTTGCCCCTAAAAGGGCATTGAGAGCAAAAGGTAAAGCTGCATCATGAAAGAGGCATCAGGATAGATGAAAGAAGTAGGAATACCACAATGGTGCAGTATTGGAGGTAGGCATTTCTCTGAAAAATAGCTGCCATTTAAAATACCAATGAGGCCTAGTTAGTTTATCTTCTTAAATGTGAAATTAACTTCCTAAACTCTGCTCGGTAAAGACGATGAGACAGTGTCTGCTACTTTTAAAGGTAGGCTGATCAGCAAAAGCTAGATCGTTTAGAAATAGGAGATTAAAAACTTGGATAATAATTTGATATTTTTCCAAAATTGGGTACAATGGTTAATTCTGATTCCTGAGTCTGTCCACAAAATAAAATATTGTGTTTATCTTTTCCAGAATTGTGTGTGTAAGAATAATTTCCAATACTTGGTCTAAATGGAATGTTCAAATACATGATATTGGAATGACAATATTTGTTGTTGCAAGGGTGAGATATCGATACGTTTGGTTATTAGGCATAACACCATTTATTTTTTACAAAAATAATACATTGTTTCATTATGGAATAGTCCTACAATTAATATATTTCAGTTTTCTTCATGGGAAGAGAGAAAGAAACAATACTAATTATAAGGCAAAGAGAGATAATTGGCATCTTTACTGGTAGCATGTTGATGTACTCATGCTTACCTAGTATTAAAAAATGTTAAGAATTGCATTACAGTGCATTAAAATTCAGAATGCTTACAAATATGTGCTGTCTGCAGTTTACCAGTAAGCTCAGTAGTGCAGTTTCAAAGTAAATTTATCCATTCATTAAATCTGAACTGAAATTTCATTGGTCCATTCAGGGTTCTCACAGTATCCATTTGCCAGACACATTCATGAGTCATTCATAAGTAGATGATTGAAGGTTTATGGACAGGATCCAAAGGATTCTGTGCATGCTACATATGTCTTCAAGTTCTTTCCATTCATATTAGAGTTACACTCAGAACTTATTCCTGAAGATCTCTAAAAAGAGGCAATACAACATGAGGGAATGAATTCTAAACAAAAAATTGGAAATTGTTTATGGGATTGTAAATACCGATAGCTCTTTCGATCATAATTCCTTCCCATAAACTTTAAAAGGAATAGAATTGAGGTATATGGAATGTTTCTTCAAAATATCAAAATTTCTGGAATTTTTGTATCCTGGTTGTATTACAGTATATTATTATTGTCCAAGAATGTCTTCAGCATCGACAAAATCTTCTCTGTGGAGAGACTCCTGAAACAAAGATACAAAAATGGTCAGTTAATCTGTAACATTTAGATAGGTGGCATATAAATTTAATAAATAAATAATCTAACTTCATATTGGTATTCCCGACAGCTAAAACCAATAACAGAATCTGACCAGTTCCTCCAGTTGTATTGGACTTCATAGGTGCATTCAAAAAATAACACATTTTATATGTTCTGTTTACATTCAGAGAAACTAAAGTGGAATGGCATGTTCAAATACATTTTTTCCCATCTGCAGCAACCATCTAAAATAGGCGACTCCCACTCAGTATGCTGAAAGTGGAGCCCATGGATTTGGCTCCTCAAAGGGATCATTCAAAAGCAGCCATTTTATGCACAAAGTATGCCATGTATAGAAACAATTTGGCTATCCCTAGCTTTGGTTGCAATGTAGATAACAATTGCATTATGGGTTGGTATCTGAAAATATTCAGCACTAATGTTTCAGTTGTCTTACCTCAAATGGCTCATAGATTGAGATATCTGCTCCATAAATAGGATTTGGAATGGATACTAAGTGTGGGCTCCTTTCCTGCCACGAAGGTTCATCATCATCTAGTTCAGCCTATAAGTAAACATATTAAGCATGACTTTGTTCTGCAAACTATTCAGTAAAAATGAATCAGCATGCTTCAGCAAACCTGAATAGACAGCTGAGACAAAGTGATTTAGCCAAGGAAATTTAAAGCTAATCTGAGATTTTGTATGTATGTATATGTATGTAAAGTATGTACCGTGTTTCCCCAAAAATAAGACTCCCCCCCAAAATATGCCCTCCCCTGAAAATAAGCCCTCCCCCGAAAATATTTAAACGCATGCACAGCCAGTCCCTGCCATTTCCTCTGGTTAGGGTTAGGAAAACAGAGCTGGAAATCAGGTAAAGTGGCAAGAGAGCCCCATCTTGCACCATGCGCCCCAAAATAATAAGACCGCCCAGAAAATAAGGCGCTTATTTCAAGGTTCAAAAAAATATAAGACAGTCTTATTTTCGGGGGAACATGGTATGTATGTATGTATGTATGGATGGATGGATGGATGGAAGAAACAAAACACAATTTATATAGCTTCCCAAGTCACCCAACCTAGTGATTTCAGGCAATTTACAACATTATTTTTTTTAGCTGGAAAAGTCCAAAAAAAAATGATCACTACATTATTAAATAAAATCTCCTGCAAGCCAAGTTTGACTCCTAGGAATGGCATAGACACAAAAATATAATTTCTTTGGCAACAATATGGAGACGGTTTGTTCTTGCTTTCCTTTTTCTCAACTTTTCTGGCCAGCTTACATTTGGTGACTCCCATCCAAGTTCTAACTAGGTTTGAACCTGGTTAACTTTCTGAGAATAGCTCCATTAAGATTATTTATACTGTGTTAATTATTAATTAAAAATTAAATTGAGATGTTTGATTTGGATGTGGTTCTACAACCACTAATGAAATTATAACAAAAATTACAGAATTCTTTCTACCCAAGTTCTATTGAAAGAATACAAAAAAAAAAATTTTTTTTTTTTTTTGGTTACAAGCAAAGCTGAGGCTTGGATTTACCTACCCTAAAATAGCGAAAGTTGATCAGTTGATTTCTCCTTTTGAGGCAGAAATAGGACAATCCAGCAATAGTTGCACAGAGCAGAACTACAGCAAAAACGGTGCTTATGCCAATGGTCATAGCAGTAGATGGTTTTACAGTACTCGAAACCTGTAAAAAAGTAATGCTATTTTCAAGTCGTATCTTAATGATAAATTATTACTCTTACATGACATTTTTGGACCCCCCAAATTAAATTCCAATGTAGTTCAGAATAGCAAAACATCTGCAAGGAAAAACCTGATATTAAAAAGAGGACTCTGCTTCTTTTGTTAGGAAGCTAGGCTTCTTGTGACATTTGCATACTTTGCGCTTTGCTTTTATGTATAACTGTATTTTAAAAGATATACATAAATTAAAGTAGTCTGAATGACTGATAACAATCTTCACTCTTTATTGTTTTGTTTACTCTGCTAATGTTTCACACTGGCTAGAATGAAAAAGCAACCTGAAAGATTCATCTGGCTTTGGAGAAAATTGTATGCAATTTCATTTGTAGATCTTCCTTAAATTAGTCTGATAATAGCGTTTCTGAAGGATTGTGTCATTATGTCTAGTTGTGTGCTAATGCTGTAAGGAAACATGTGCTTTGAGAACGTAATTCAGTTCCAGGACGCTAAATTATAGAGGCACTGCACTATTTTCTAAAGTGCGACATTGTATTTTTATACAGACCATATCCTAGGGATGATGAATGCTTCGATGCTTAGTGACAGGCTGCCTCTTTGTCCTTGGAAAAGGGCAAAAAATGAAATAGTGGGGACTTTTAAGAAAAACAATAAAATCAGCAGAACAAATTGAGTGGGAACAGCAGCAATGAAGAGCAAATAGGGCTATTTCATCCTCTTACAAAGATCAGCTTAGCACCCACTGCCCTAAAGTACAGTAATAACCAGAGGCTATAGAAATTAACAACAAAACTATTTTAAAATGGTAGATCTCACAAGATCTGACCATTTTAATTCTATTTTTTTGTCAAACCCCATGTAATCTTGGGAAAGTTCACAAGATTTGGTAACATCATGCAATTTAACCATGTCTCTGATGCCCAAAGAAATGGACTCTCTTCTACCACTGCCTCCATTTCTGCAACCTCTCTCACTTTTCACTGATCACTGCCGACATTCATAATTATGTTGCATCTCGAAGAGTCTTATGAACTAATAAGGAACTCGGGAAAACGAATTCTTTCTCCTATCCTGTTACCTTTGCTCAAAAAATGTATTTCATTAGTTAGTATTTAGAAGTAGAAAATTATTTCTACTTGAGAAATAATGTAATGTAATGTAATGGTGCATAAGCGCATCAGCGTGCCTACCATCCGTGTCCTACTGTTTCCATTTATTCGTACTCGTTTCTTATGTTTATACTTATACCTGTTTATACTTATATGTTTATATGTTATGTTTATACTTATGCTTATTTTCTCATACATGCTTGACAAATAAAGAAAAAAGGAAAAAGGAAAAAAAAGTACCATCATCATGCATGCCATTTTAGATAATCTATGATCACTACCATCCCGGGGAATTTTGAAGTGGGAAGGAAGAATTGGAAAGCTCTGTGTCTAAACGATTTGTGTTCAATGATACAGACTGAGAACACTAATTTTGTATTTTTAAAAAAGTAATCTGGACCAGTGGTGAAATCCAATTTTTTTTACTACCGGTTCTGTGGGCGTGGCTTGGTGGGCGTGGCAGGGGAAGGAGATTACAAAATCTCCATTCCCACCCCACTCCAGGGGAAGGATACTGCAAAATCTCCATTCTCACCCTACTCTGGGGCCAACCAGAAGTGGCATTTGCCGGTTCTCCGAACTGCTCAAAATTTCCGCTACCGGTTCTCTAGAACCTGTCAGAACCTGTTGGATTTCACCCCGATCTGGACTCACATTTGCAATGCTCAGTGCAATTTATATTGATGCCCAAAGAGTCCATTGTTAGAGACATGGTTAAATTGCAGGATATTACCAAATCTTGTGAAGTTTCCCAAGACTGCATGGAGTTTGATGAAAAGGAGGATGGAAATGCTCAAATCTTGTGAGAGCTACCATTTTAAAATAGTTTTGTTTGTTCTAGTGGTTAAGACAAGAGACTTAACCACTAGAGTTCAAGCCCTGCCTTAGCCATGTAAAGCCAGCTGGGTGATTTTGGGCCGGTCATTCGCTCTCAGCCCATCCCACTTCACAGCGTGGTTGTTGTGGGGAAAACAGGAGAAGGAAAATGTGTCAGATATGTTCACCGCTTTGGGTTGTTTCTAAAAAAATTAAAATAAAGGTGGGATATAAATAAATACATAAACTTGTGGAATACTACTCAGATCTTAATTTATAAAACAGGGAAGGAAGGAATGCAAAACTGATCATTTCTCAAGAAAAGATACTTGAGAAATAACTAACCTGTTTATTCTGCAGAGGTACCTTCAAAGGACTCTGAATAGCATGGATGATCCCATTGGAGGCCAGAATATCCCAGTCAACAATCACTGTATTGTTAATCGGTTCAGAAACCTGGTGCA